TTTAAATCTTTCTAAATGAAAGGTACCACATGTGGAACAGGGTCCGCTTACCCTTCCAGAGCACCTGAGATCACCCCCGGTTTTGGTGGGGTTCGTGTTTCTCAGTCTTTAGGTTTTTTTTCTGTGTGTTGTATTTTGTGTTCTGTTGTTTGCCTGTTTGTCTGTTTCTTTTTTAGCCATGGCTTTGTCGATTTACTTTTTACTTATGAGATATAACGTCCCTTTGGTTTTTCGCTCCTCCTTTACTTACGGTTAATTTATTACCAAAACAATAATCAGTTTCAAAATTTTAATTTGAAAACAAAAGTGCAATGAATACATACAAATCAAACACTATAAACATAATATCACTGTTCAAAGTTAGAACTGTCACATCCACTAAAAGTTACCCGGTTATGAATAACCGTTACTATGTCCCACCTACTGATCATGTATGATCACTCCTGATATGGAATAAGAAAATCAATAGTAAAGAGTTGTCCCACCTACTGATCATGTATGATCACTCCTTATATGGAATACAATATCACATACATATCAAACTTCTTGTGACGGAGTAAGTTCATCATCTGCTGGAATATAGTCTACCTGTCTCCAAAAGGTGGCAAACTGATCAATTGCTAACATTTGTTTGATAAGTTCTTGTTTTGAAAGAATATCATTGATTGAAACATTAATGTTCAGAAAACCTTTAAATCCTTTAAGTAGATTAGCAAGTTGTCTTAATTTCCGAGCATGAGGTATAGATATATCTATCTTAGATGATAACCATGTGTCCCACGTTGTATTGACCTTTGTCAAAAGAAACCAGTCTCTCAAATCATTAAGGAAATCACCGAAAGTAATGTTAAACAGCATACCTTGGGCGTTATGTCTTCCCAAGTGTTTGTATGCTTCTTGTAACTGTTTAACAGGTTCTTTTTCACTATTAAAAATAAACTTCTGCCTCGAAATTGTCTTTGATAAATCCGCCTTTCTGCTTCTTAGAAAGGTGTGAAGTTCTTCAGGGGTCGTCGGGATAGTTTGCTTTTTTTTCTTTCCCAGTTTTTCTTTAAATAAGTCCTGCACCTTTCTTTTCGGAGCTTTTGGAAGTTTAACCGGTCCCAAACTCTTAGCTCTTTCGATTGTCTCAATCATTATCTGATAGTAATAAATATTTTCTATCAAAATGTTACTTTCTTCTAAACTCCATGGCCAGTTCTGTGGTTGAGGCTGCGCCTGACACTCTTGAATTTCCATTTGTATTTCTTTTGTAGAATTACTTTCTTGAAACATTAATTCACGTCTTCTCACCACTGTTAATTTGAAACGAAAGACCGCACCAGTCTGCTATATGTTTGCATGTGATGACAACGTTATCTAGGCAACATGTAAACATACTCTTGACAACCATGTAAATATTTTCAATGATCGATTTAGTTTATAACACTTCACAAATGTAAAAAGCAATTGAAGTTGTAGTCGTATTGATCCGTTTTATTACTAGACTATATTGATAAAATTAATTAAAAATCAAGGTTGGGGCGCACTGGGGAAATTATTTTTTCTCTTAAATCCCACAGAATTCTTTCTTCGCCTGTTCTCCCGGTTTTTTTATTTATTTTTTTTTTGGAATTTTTTTGTTGTTTTTTTGGGTGTTTTTAATAACGTTTTTTTCCAAAGTAAAAAAAAAATTTTTTTGGGAGTAAGAAAATTTTGGTGTTTTTGCGTTTTTTTTTGCTTTTTTTTTTATGAAAATTTAGGGCTCTTTTACTTGAAATGAGGGTAATTTTTTGGGGGTCAAATTTTTTTTTTTTTGGAGGGGGATATAGGTGTGTGATATTGTGTAAGCTTAAATGTAGTGTCCAGACTTGCTCAACTGTTCAGGGTTCGACCTCTGCAGGAAAATCCGGTTTGCTGTCACTCTGACTTGTTTTAAACTGATCTAAAAGTATTTTCCGATTAAAAGCGGAACACGAGTAAAACAGGTAATAACGATGAAGCGATCAGATTCCACATGATGTTTAACTAAATAATGTAGACAAATGTAGACATAGAATATTTTACTGTTGAAATGTGCCAAGTTTATCGAGATTTATAAAAGAATATTTACTTTCAAGTACTGATGATTTTAGATTTATGTATTTGTAATAAATGTCATCGATTACATTTTTGAGACTGGACAATGAAAATCGGGATAATAATTCGTAAAACATGGTAAATTTATATCTATTTAAAAAAAGTGTTTACAATTGAATATACTAGTTTAAATATAACACGTTACAGCAAAAAGAAAAACAACCAAACAAAATGAGCTTGACGCTATCTTACTAACCGCAAGTATATTTTATAAGAATTAGTTTATGTACAAATTAAAGAATAGAAACGTTTAAAATTGTGAATATTTTAATTGACTGGTATACACGAAAAACTTTGATTATTCGTATTTAAGAAAAGGGGGTCGAAACAGATTTTTTGTACAATCATCTTCGTGACTTTCAGAAATGGCTTCTTAACTATCTTTGAATATTAAAATTGAAAATGATCCACCCTTTTTCACCAATTTCGTATTTTTTTTGTGATGACTGTCGGCTTAAACTTAAAGATCCAAAAAGACATAAACAGGAAAAATAGACTAAAATCAACATTGAACGAACGACTCTATTCGGCAGCGTACAGCAGCGGAATGTATCGAGTGAACTATTCGGGTTACTTAGTACGTATTTACGACAACAACCGGTCTGTTCATAATTTTCCGTGAACACTTATAATTATTCATCTTATTTATCATTTTATAAATTTATAGCATATTTTTTTGTTATATATCTAGGCCAATTACAATGAATACAAATAAAAAAAGATGGGAGCATGAATAAAACAATATATGCTTTAATTTTCTCTTTGTACTCAAAGGAAATTAAAGGTTAAGTTATGCTATATAGCTAGTACTTTATTTACCAACAATCAACAATGAAAAACAAAACCAGAAACAGAATCTTATCAATTGTTGTTACAACTGATAGCATTGAAAAAGACTGGAAGGGTACTGGAAACAAAATAATATATTACATTCAGATGGAAGTTTGAAGAAAAAACATGCAAAAAAGACAATTTTTACATCAGAAGGTTACATTAATGACAAAAAAATGTCAATAATAAACCTCCTGATCTGATATTGATGTCTAAACTCCTGACAAAAAATTCTCAATCTCCTGGTCTGAGTTTCAGTCATGTATGTTTAATAGTATAACAAAAATACCAAACTCCAAGGCAAATTCGAAAAGGGGAAGTCCATAAAAACTGAGAAGGTCAAATGCTATCAACATGACCAATCAACAGACCAAGTAAAAAATAACTACACAAACTGATTAGGTAATCTTGACAGCATCAGGGGAGGTTCATATTTTTTTGAGTTTTTTCCCTAAATTTTTTTCATTTTTCCATTGATTAATTCTGATTTCTATATATAAGCAACAAAATTACTGATATGGCAGGAGATACACACCAAACGGGATGTGTAAATTATTATATATAACAGATAAACTAAGTATTGTGCAACAGCACAGTATTGCGCAATAGCAAGAAATCTTCAATTATACAGTATTGCGCAATAGCAAGAAATCTTCAATTGCACAGTATTGCACAATAGCACAGTACTGCGCAATAGCAAGATTGCGCAATAGCAAGAAATCATCAATTGCACAGTATTGCGCAATAGCAAGAAATCTTCAATTGCACAGTATTGCGCAATGGCAAGAAATCTTCAATTGCACAGTATTGCGCAATAGCAAGTAATCTTCAATTGCACAGTATTGCGCAATAGCAAGAAATCTTCAATAGCACAATATTGAGCAATAGCAAGAAATTTTCAATTGGACAGTATTGCGCAATAGCAAGAGGGTCCAAAATTTAACATTGATCGCAACTTAAATTAAATTTTTGGTGTTTTTTATGCCCCCGTGGGGGCATTAAGTTTTACCCTGATCGGTCTATACGTCCGTACGTACGTCCGTCCGTACATCCCAAAGTTGGTTTCCATTCTCTAACTTTAGTTTGCCTGTACCAAATGTTATGAAAGTTATATACAATGCTTATTACCACAAAACACAGATCAATTTTGAATTTTGGTGGCGTCACTATAACCGTTCTAGAGTTATGTCCTTTTACAAATGGAAAAATTGTTGAATTTTTCGTTTCCGTTCTTTAACTTTAGTCTGCCCCAAACAAATGTTATGAAACTTATATTCAATGCTTATTACCAAATAATACAGATCAAGTTTGAAATTGGGTGGCGTAACTTTTACCGTTCTTAAGTTATGCCCCTTTATAAGCATAAAAATAACTGAATTTTTCGTTTCCGTTCTCTAACTTTAGTTTGCCTCAATCAAATGTTATGAAACTTTTGCACAATGCTTATTACCACATAATACAGATCAAGTTTGAAATTTGGTGGTGTCACTTTTACCGTTCTAGAGTTATGCCTGTTTACAAATGGAAAAATTGCTGAATATTTTCGTTTCTGTTCTTTAACTTAAGTTAGCCTCAACCAAATGTTATGAGACTTATACACAATACTTATTACCACAAAACTCAGATCAAGTACAAATTTGGATAGCGTCACTTTTACCGTTCTTCAGTTATGTCCCTTTATAAATTTATATGATGTGCAAGCGGGGGCGTCATCTGTGTCCCATGGACACATTCCCCATTTATTTATATGCTGAATCTAACCATGTTCTTAGATTTTGGATATCAGGCCATACAAGGGAAATTAAATTTCCCATTTCAAATTTTTAAGATCTTTTACCACATTTATTTTGTGTTAAAAACCTTTATTATGTCAAAAATTTGATCACAATCCAAATTCTGACAGTATCAAGCTTGAATATTTTGTCCAAACTTGCTCCTGTTATGGTTTCGACCTCTGCGGTCGCATCAGTCTGCGCTCGGCGAATCATTTTATTAATTATCTGCACTGTTTTGTAGTTGTCATTAAATTTTTCTTATTTAATTTTTTTCAGAAAGAGCCATAGAAGAAAGTTGTACAAATGCTGCACAATGTATTGCTGCCAATTCTGAATGTACTGGTGATGATGCAATGACATGTAAATGTCCAGTCACACATTTCCATGATGGTACCAACTGTGTTAGTAAGTATCTTTAAGTCTTTATTTACTACACTTTTTTCAAATATTTGATATTGAAAACGTAAAAAATCAGAGTGTATCTTACGAATCCAGTGTAACATTACACAACCTGAGTAGATTTTGACCCTGGCCCAAGGCTTATTAACAAGTAATTATAGTTTGATTGAATAATCAACAAGTGATATGATATTAATTACTGGATATGGCTCCTGGTTATGGCATATGCCAACAATGATTAAAGGTAAATATGTTATTTATAGAAAAGTGGAATGTTGTTGTTGTTAAAACATCAATTAAAAAGTGTTTATGTTGTAAAAACATTTGATAGGTGTTCAACTCAGCAAAGTTATGCTCACTACTTCACACTGCAATGCTGCCTTTAAGAGGGCATTCAGCATGATTAAGAAGATCCAAACTGACTTACAGAGCCAAGTGTAGCCAAGGCAGCAATGTTAGCTTGTACTTCTTTCATGGCCTCTTGTCACAAACCAGTGTCCTAGTTATTAAATAACAATGTCCATGTAATATAGACAGGGCTATAGCTGATATATTTTTGACATTGTTTGAAACAATAACAGTCTTAAGTTTTCTAGCAAAATGACTGTATTAATACTTAAAAAACCATACATAACTACTGTTATTGTTTGTTAATTTTCCATCTATTTATCATTTAACAAATGTATAGAATATTTTTATGTTCCAACAGCTAGGCGAAGGGGACATTAAGTGTTACACTTGGCCGTCCGTCCTTCTGTCCATCCGTCTGTCCATTTTTCCGTCCATTCTTTTGTCCGTCCCAAAAGTATTTTCACATATTACAAGCAACCTTAAGCATGAGTGGGGGCATTCTTGTCCTCAGCAACATTTTTCTTTTATTTTCTTATATATCTAGGTCAACTACAATGAATACAAATAAAAAAGATGGAGGCATAAGTAAAAAAGTCTTCTTTATGTTCTCTTTGTACTCAAAGGAAAGGTTTAATCATACTAGTACTTTATTTACCAATAATCAACAATGAAACAGCCCAGGAAGACTCAGTTTTGTACAGTAACAATAATTAAGATGTTCTGAATAAATGGGAGAAATAGTTTTCATTGATTCAAAGTATTAAACTGTTACTCAAATTTAGTTTTTTATTATTTTGTCAGCTGAAGAATTTTTTGTCTTTATCTTTAATAATCTGCACTGTTTTGTACTTCTCACTAAGATTTTCTTTTTTCATTTTTGTCAGGAAGAGCCATAGGAGAAAGTTGTACCAATGTTTCACAATGTATTGCAACCAATGCTGAATGTACTGGTGATGGCACAAAGTCATGTAAATGTCCAGTCACACATTTCCATGATGGTACCAACTGTGTTAGTAAGTATCTTTAACTTGTTTATCAAATGAGTTAAAATAGAATGTTTTATATAAACTGTAGATCAAATGTCATATTTTACTATTTGATACGTTTAAAGACATCGAAAATAGTACTGTACCACCCAGATTACAATTCTATGTTGCCCTCTGAGGCTTTTGGTGAAACTTGTACAAATACAGTGTACCACTACAGATTCTATATGTGCTGTTACTGGTACACAGACATGTCAGTGTCCAACCACACATTTTTATGATGGTAACAATTGTGTTAGTAAGAATCTTTGATAAATGAAATTTTGAATGTTTCATTTGTCACTTATAAAATAGTTTCTGCAAATTCTGCAAGAATAGCTAAAAGTGAAATAAAGTTTCCAGGAAAATATGTTGGTTTAAAGGTAATTGATGTCAAATATACACATGAACAAGCAAAAATTAAAAAAATTACTTGCCAGTACAGAAAGCAAGCTCAAAGAACATTAATTTCTTATATGAAATCAATTACATAAACTCTTATATTCATACATGTGAACATCCTGTCGGGAGTAAGATAATCCTGTTTTCAGTTGTTACCTCCTGTCTTCCCTTTGAAAAGATGAAAGTCCTGAATCAAATATTTCATGAATGAAAATGTTCAGACGCCAATTTGTACTACCCTTTTTAGTCCCCTACCGACGAAGTCGAAGGGGATTTTAGGTTTGCACTCCGTCCGTCTGTCTGTCTGTCTGTCTGTCTGTCTGTCTGTCCATCCGTCAGTCCGGCAAATCAGTTTTCCACACTTTTTTTCTTCGTGCTTGAAGATATTGATTTGATATTTAATGTATTGTTTTATCATCACAAGTTACAGATCAATTTCGAATTTTGTTCCGGTCTGATGATTTTGTGCAGAGTTATGGTCCTTGGACTTAGAAAATTCACTCAAATAATCAGCTTTCCGCACTTTTTTTCGTCATGCTTAAAGATATTGCTTTGATAGTTGGTATATAGTTTTATCATGACAAGTTACAGATCAAGTTCTAATTTTGTTCCTGTCTGATGATTTTGTGCAGAGTTATGGTCCTTGGACTTAGGACATTCACTTAAATAATCAATTTTCAACACATTTTTTTGTCATGCTTGAAGATATTGACTTGATATTTGTTATATAGTTTACACCATGACAAGTTATAGATCAATTAGCATTTTGTTCCAGTACAATGAATTTTTAACCGGTTGGGGACTATGTATTGCAATGCAATACTCTCACAATGCTTGTTGCAAATATTTATTATACTAGTGTATCTAACCTATCAGGTGTAAGTGAGAGCAAAGTAATGCTCACTACTTCACACTGCGATGCATTTAAGAGGACCATCAGTATGCTTAAGAAGATCCAAACAAACATCTTTTTTTCGTCTTGCTTGAAGAGATTGATTTGATAATTGGTAAAAATTGGTTATCATGACAAGTAACAGGTCAGGTTTGCATTTTGTTCCGGTCTGATGATTTTGTGCAGCGTTATGGTCCTTGGACTTAGAAAATTCACTCAAGTAATCAGTTTTCCTCACTTTGTTGCTTCATGCTTTAAGATATTGATTTAATAATTATGCCCCTGCCGTAGCGGAGGCGGTATTAAGTTTTACCCTTGTCCGTCTGTTCGAACATACGTACGTCCCAAAGGTGGTTTCCGTTCTCTAACTTTAGTTTGCTTCAACAAAATGTTATGAAACTTAAACACAATGCTTATTTTCACAAAATACAGATCAAGTTTGAATTTTGGTTGGTGTCATTTTAACCGTTTTAGAGTTATTCCCCTTTACAAATGGAAAAATTGCTGAATTTTTCGTTTCCGTTCTCTAACTTTAGTATGGCTCAACCAAATGTTATGAAACTTATACACAATGCCTATTACCACAAAATACAGATGAAATTTAAATTTTGGTGGTGTCACTTTTACTGTTCTAGAGTTATGCTCCTTTACAAATGGAAAAATTGCTCAATTTTTTGTTTCCGTTCTCTAATTTAAGTGTGTCTCAACCAAATTTTATGAAACTTATACACAATACTTATTACCACAAAACTCAGATCAAGTAAAAATTTGGGTAGCATCACTTTTACCGTTCTTCAGTTATGTCCCTTTATAATTTTATATAATATGCAAGCGGGGGCATCATCTGTGTCCCATGGACACATTCCCAATTTATTGGTATATAGTTTACACCATGACAAGTTATAGATCAAGTTAGCATTTTGTTCCAGTACAATGAATATTTAACCGGTAGGGGACTATGTATTGCCATGCAATACTCTAAGAATGCTTGTTTACCGAGAATTATCAATAAAAAATGAAACATTTTTTACACCAGCTAAACTCCCTTTAAAAATTTTCCAATCTCCTGATTTTCAGTCATGAATGTTTAAAAGTATAACAAAAATACCAAACTTCATGGCAAATTCAAAAAGGGGAAGTCCATAAAAACTGAGAAGATTAAGTGCTATCAACATGACCAATCAACGGAACAATTAAAAAACAACTACACAAACTGATTTCAGGATTTCAGGATTTCCGAATGTTATTGTTTGTTAATTTTTCATCTATATATCAATTTTATAAATTGATAGCACATGTTTTTATACGACCGCAAAAAAATTGCGTTCCTATAATGCCATCATGTCGTCGTCGTCGTCGTCCAAAGACACATTTGCTTTCCGGACAATAACTTTAGTTTAAGTGAATGGATCTCTATGAAATTTTACCAGAAGGTTCAATACCACAGACGGAAGGTTGGGATTGATTTTGGGGGTAATTGCCTCAAACGTTCAGGAATTAGGGGCAAAAAAGGGGCCAAAAACAAGCATCTTTCTTGTTTCCAGACAATAACTTGTGTTTAAGTGTATGGATCTCTCTTAAATTGTATTACAGGATTCCATACCTCAAAAGGAAGGCTGTGATTGAGTTTGGGGGTAATTGCCCCAAAATTTTGGAAATTAGGACCAAACCAGGTGCCAAAACAAGCATTTTTCTAGTTTCCAGACAATAACTTGTGTTAAAGTTTATGGAAATCTCTGAAATTGTACATGTTTCCTGAAAAGAAAATAATCTTCAAAATTTACCAAAAAAATTGGTGGGGGGGGGGTTTCAAAAAGATTGGTGGGGGATTTTTTTTTTTAATTTTTTGTCTCGTTTTACGGAGTCAAAAAACGAGACATATGTATGCTGTTTCCGGCGACGGCGACGACGACGACGGCGGCAACGGCGGCGGCGTCAACAATGTATTAGTTTGTGATTAGGTCTAGTTTGTGGTGAACCACAAGTTGTAGGTCAAATCATATTTGGTATACAGTTTTATTAGCATTGACACATATCGTATCCATGGAGATTATTTTGGCCCTGCCCCCTCAGTCATGGTATTTGAATTCGAAACTTTTGCTTATTTTACATGTTTTAGTTTGTAATTAGGTCAGTTTATGAGGAACCATCAGTGTTAGGTCAATGATATTTGGTATGCAGTTGTATAAGCATTGGCATATCTCATTTCCATGGAGATTATTTGGCTCAGCCCCCTTAGTCACGGTCTATTGACCTTGCAAATTTTGCTTAGTTAACATGTATTAGTTTGTGATTAGGTCAGTTCAAGGGGAACCATAAGTGGCAGGCAAATATTAATTGGTATTCAGTTGTATAAGCATTAGCACATCTCATTTCAATGGAGAATATTTGGCCCCATCACCTCAGTCATGGCCTATTGACTTTGAAACTTTTGTTTAGTTTACATGTATTAGTTTGTGTTAAGATCAGTTTAAGATGAACTGCTAATGTTAAGTCAATGATATTTGGAATGCAAATTTATTGGCATTTGTAAGTATCGTTTCCATGGAGATTATATAGCTCCACCCCCTCTTCATGGTTCATTAACTTTGAAACTTTTACATAGTTTACAAGTTAATGTTTGTGTTTATGTTTGTTTAAAGGGAACAACTTATAATAAGTCAATGATATTTGGTATGCAGTTGTATTAGCATTAGGGCATCTCATTTATATGGAGATGGTTTAGCCATGTACCTCAGTCATGGTTCATTGACTTTGAATATTAGCCTAACTTGTGTAAGTATTGCCATTTTAATTTCAACATTTGCATAATCAAAATTACAAAAAGCGAGACATATCTCTGTGATTACAGTTTATTTTTTTGGGGGTCATATTTTTTTCTTCAAAATTTCTGAAATTTCAAATTTTTTCAAAAATTTTTTTTTTGGGGGAGACAAATTTTTTTGGGGGATTTTTTTTTATAATTTTTTGGGGTATATTTCCAAAAAAAATCCATTTTTACATTGACTATTTCTGATTTATTTATAAAAGCATCAAATACTGATATGGCAGGAGATACACACCAAACAGGGTGTGTAAATTATCATATTTAACAGATTAACTAAGTATTGTGCAACAGCACAGTATTGCGCAATACCACAGTATTGCATAATAGCACAGTATTGGGCAATAGCACAGTATTGCGCAACAGCACAGTATTGCGCAATCGCAAGAAATCTTCAATTGAAAATAAATACAAATCTTTTAACCAATTTCAATGGGATTAAATTAAGTCTTTAATTTTTGAGGGTTCCAACCTTGTATTACTATTTTTGGATATTGGGCCCCATTTTTAAATTGGTCTACATTGAGGTTTAAAGGGTCCAAAATTAAACTTTGTTTGATTTCATCAAAAACTGAATTATTGCGGCTCTATGATATGCTGAATCTTATTGTGCATTTCGATTTTTTATTTTGGGCCCTATTTTCAAATTAGTCCATATTAGGGTTTGGAGGGTTCAAATTAAACTTGATTTCAACTGAAATAAAATTTTTGGTGTTTTTTCATATGCTGAATCTAACCATGTTGTTAGATTTTGGATATCAGACCATACTAAGTAAATTAAATGTCCCATTTCAAAGTTTTAAGATCTTTGACCACATTTATTTTGTGTCAGACACTTATGTTATGGCAAAAATTTTATCACAATCCAAA